TTGGATTACAGAAAGGAATTGTATGCTATTGTCTTAGGAAGTAGGACAATGCCTAGGGATGCTGCACAAATGCTAAAGTGCGGCAGTTTTCCTGGGGTGGTTGATGGACATATCTGCCTTTGTTATACAAACATGATTTTGACTTGTAAGATTAGATTAGCAGTCCAATTGTTTTACATTTTTCTTTATAGTATATCAGCATCTGCTTGTATGTAAGCCCTCCGTTCTAAAGCTTTCGATAATGGTGTTCGTGTTTGGTTGAATGCTGCTGAATTACAGATCGAAAAAGGTTTGGGATTTCTGTTCTACCTGACTGTTTGGTTCGACATTATCTCACTCATGTCTGATTCTGCACCAAATACTACAATATCACAAACTCAGCAATCCCCAACCTGAATATTTTTCAATTGAACTAGAACTGCTGTACAGTAAATCTGATTCAGCCTGTTAAAATTACCCAATACGAAAGACTAATTGTTCTGTCCTTAAATAGTTATCATGTCGATGCAATCCTTTTCTTCGTAGGATGAAAGGATATACCGTATTGGTAAAGCTATTAATTTTCTGTAAGGAAAATACTAAATTTAGACAACAACAAAAGGCATCATGACTATTAATTCCGAACAAAAGGAGTATACCACAATATATGTGCGCTTAAATGTATTTGACATTGTATATGTGCTCGACTTTGTTGATAGAGCCGGGTGTGAGGTGACTTGCATGTTGATAGATGATGGGCCTGAAATGTCTTACGTTCATTCACCACCAACACCAAAGCAATACTATCCCATCACTTGTGGGCAATACCACAATATACTCGTTGACTGCCTCACCTCTGTTGATTTTTGTTTTATACAGAGTATACAAGAATAATGTGCACATACACACGCGCCTTTCATCGATAACAAGTTTTCTTACTTTTTGATATGTTAAATTAAAGTTTTGAGTGAAGATATGCCTAATCCTAATGTTATTTTGTACTCCGTACTTCCTTTACAAAAAAATACTACAAAGTACGGAATAATAAATTATGTAAATCAATTATGTACAGGAGTACAGCCAAACCAGCTATATTGTACCTGGATTGCTTAATTAAAATGGGATTTAGAATAATTGTTTGTATTACTTTCAAAGACAAGTATAGCCTCATTTTCGGTCATAAGTCACGACTTATGCTACTTGTGTCCCTTCTTTTCTAGTCACAATAATATGTTGGATCTTGGGTTACGGCTACTTTTAATCTTTGAGAGAACTTAATCTTCATTTCATAAAATTACAGTGACATGGTGCATGAATGATTTGTGTTTTTATAAACTAGATATCGATGCATATAAGGTATTATATGGGTTGATTTAAAAACAAGAGTGACCATATATATTTTAAAATCATAATAATTTTGAAAAATTGAAAACTGATAACACAAAAGTAAAAAACTTACTCTATTTTATTTTCTTTTTTTTTTTTAAAAAAAAAACGATCATAAACAAGCCATAAGATAGTTAACTTCCCATGTTTTGTGGCGTTGTCTTAATTCAAAAGGTTAAGGTTAAGATATAAGAGGGGGCATTGAAAAGTTTTTTTTTTTTTTTGATGTTAAGTATAAAAAGCCTTGTGTGTGTGTGTGTGTTTTTGTGTGTGGGGGGAAAATCCAGCCATAGACTGAAAGACTGTGACAATCTTAAACAAGCCCTACGATAACCACAAAAAACGATCATAAACAAGCCTTAAGATAAACATAAGTACATAATGTCTTTCCTAAAAAAATAGTCCATATGTCACAAATTATGCTAAGTTAGAACACACTTGAAGATGACACGTATCATTGTCGGTGTGTCTTTTTGTTATTGATTATTGATAATTAAACCGTTATTGTTACCATGTGTTTGGTTAAAAGGCTCGTTTTCACCCATTTGTTACCTCTCTAAAGCTAAGATAACAATTAATTACTCTAACCCAACTCAAACAAAACTAAAGAGAATTAGGTCTAGGTAATTCATTTCCATGTTTAAATCAAATAAATGAAAAGGATAATGGTTAAATAATTCATTTTCTTATTTTTATTCATTTTCTTTCCACTCCATTTCCGATATTCATAAAAATTTCCTCCTAGATTTCCATATCAAACAAACAAATCCTAAATATATCCTACTGTTATTTAGGGCCGGTTTCTATTTACTATAAACAACTAAAGTGAACTGAACTGATTGGAGTTGAATAGAAATATTTGACTATAAATTAATGATTTTTAACTATGGATTAGTAATGATATTAATCCAATAATAATTATGAAAAATAAAATGAAGTTCAAAATTAATCCATTAATATTTTTTTTTAATTTATTTTATTTTCATGTTAATTATTGTCTGTGATTTTCTACTGTAATAGTTTGGCTCCTAAAAAATGAAACAAAAACAATTTCCAAATATACATTAGACATAGGGCCTATTTTGATATACTGAACTGAGATGAACTAAACTGAATTGATTGGAGCTAAATTGAACTGAACTAAGCTAAAATGAATTGTTAATGAGAAGAAAAAAATTAGGAAGGGAATTGGATTGAGCTAAACTGAAATTAAGCTTAAGAGAACATGCCCATAAAGATGAACTTGAAAAGATCGACCCAAAGGCATGCCTTAATTAAATTCTTATTAACAATATCATTAGCTAAATCATATAAAATAAATAAATAAATTAGCAAAAGAACTGAATTGAGCTAAACTGAAGTGAACCGAACTGAATTAAGCTGAACAGAACAAGCCCTTATAGACTAGGGATGACTAGGGGTGTCCATAATTCGGATTAAAACCGAAATTCAATCCAATCCAAACCGAATTATCAATTCGGATCGAATCCAAACTTTAAATCGGATTGAGATTTTTTTGAAAATCCGGATTTTCGGATTGGATCGGATTGACCCTAATTGGATCCAATCCAAACCGAAAACCGAATTGTAAAATTAAGCTTGTATAAATATGGATTTATTTGTTTTTTGAAGTTTAGCTCAAATACTTGCTATGACATAAAATAAATTAGGGGACTTTGTATTAATTAACTAATGACTTGATGTTGAGCTACTTATTTTAATCATGATTTTGAAGACTTTTATTTATATTATAGCTTTATTTTTATAATCGTATTAGGCGCTAAAAAATAATGTCTTATAATTCGGATTTTCAGATCGGATCCAAATAACCTAAATTTAATTCGGATTGGATCGGATTGAATTGGGAGAGAAATTCGGATCGGATCGGAAAATTGAAAACCGAATTATAGTTCGGATTGGATCGGATTGGACTAAATCCAAACCGAAAACCGAACGGACACCCCTAGGGATGACAGGGGGGTATTAAAATGCGGGTCCCACACCGCATCCTCCCCAGTTGGAGCAGATATGGGTCTAACTTTGGCGGGTAAGTAGGCAGGTATGGGTACAAAAGTCATACCCACTATGGGTAGCGGGTGGGTGGTGGATTTGATGCCATAGCTGCCTATTACCCGTCTACCTGCCAATTACCCACCTACCCACCTAGTTACCCGCCTACTCGCCTAGTTATCCGCCAACTTATTACTACTATTATTTTTTTATCACAAATTGATTGCTACCTTGTATAATATGCTATTAAATTATGTATTTACAACAATTTAGATATGGCAAAATGACATTTTTATAGAAAATTTATTAAGCAAATGTTGTTAGGTTGGCATGTAAAAAGCGGGTGGTGGATATCCACATGGGTGGTAAATCTAGGTTTTTACTCGCTTAGGCGGATATGGGTGTTAAAATTTTACCCGCCGTGAGTAGATGGTGATGAGTATAAATTTTTTTAGCAGGTGCGGGTACGTATGGGGAGGGGTACCCGCACCGCACCGCTCAATTGTCATCCTTAGAGACGAAGAGAATACTACGAAGTACTCCTTTCATTTTTAAAGTACTTGTTCCATTTCTCTTTGGTACGCATGCCGATGCTATTTTTTTTTATCAATTATATCTTAAATTATGAACAAATTTAAATTATAACAACTGAAAATTAATAATTTATTCATTGAGACGATTCCAATAAGTATCCACAAGATTATATTTATTCTTATATAAAAATTACAAACATTAGTTAAAGTAGGAGAAATGAATTATACAAAAAATAGAAATTGAACAAGTATTTAAAAACAGAGGGAGTAAGAGTCTGTTCTCTTCCGCTTAATTTCAGTTTAGTTCAGGTCAAATCACTTTAGTTCAGTTCCTACGGAGTAATAACCTTCTTTTCATAAACAATTCAGTTGAGCTCACTTCAGCTCCATTCACTTTAATTCAATTCAGCTAAGGGCCTGTTCCGATTGACTGAACTCAGCTGAACTGAACTGAACTGAACTGAGCTGAACTGAACTGAACTTATTAATTAGTGTTTTTTAACTACGGATTAATGATCTTTGATTATTTATTGATTATTTATTACTATACATATGTGTATATACAAATGTACATATTATTATTATTATTATTATTATTTATTAATTATTATTATTATTATTATTTATTGATTATTATTATTATTATTATTATTATTGTTTTTATTATTATTTATTGATGATTATCATTATTATTTATTGATTATTATTATTAGTATTATTATTAGTATTATTATTATTATTTATTGATTATTATTATTATTATTATTATTATTATTTATTACTTATTGATTATTATTATTATTATTATTTTATATTATTATTATTATTATTATTATTATTATTATTGTTGTTGTTGTTGTTGTTGTTGTCGTTGTAATAAGAGCTTAAAAGAATGAAATTTGGCTTTATATCATTAGCAATATTATTAGACGTAAATTAAGAGCTGAACTGAACTGAACTGAATTTCAACGAAAGAGAACAAACCCTAAATTTAGTAAATCAGAACATGCCATAAGTATCCGTATCTAAAGATTGAAGAAGGGTAGATCTTAATTATACTGGTATCTAAAATCAAAAATCCAAAATCCAAAAAGGGTGGAGAGAGAGAAAGGCGTTGGTCAGAGAGCAGACTAACAAAGGGACCCACTCTGATTGCTCTACTCTCATTGCCTACACATCTTCCTTGTCCTTTCATGTCTCCTTCCTAATTTCCTCCATATTTTTTTTTTACCAAATTTTTATTTTTTTTCTACAATAATTTTTCTCCAAAGATAATGGGTAATGGCTGCTGCTTCGGCGACGCCGGCGGTAGAACGGCGGTTGGCGGCGGTGGTGGCGGCGGCGGCGGCGGTCAGTATAAGCATCACAACGATGGTCCAAACGACGCCGTTAGTCTCTTCCTTAAGGCTCATGGTTATCATGGTCTATTCTCTCAGATCGAGGTTTGTTTTTGTTTCTCTCTCCTTTGACTGTTTTTGGAGTTTGACTGTGCTTTATTTATGTGGGAATTCTGTAATTTGTACACTATTTCTATTATTAGTAAGATTAGTTGCTGTATTTATTCTTCCAGTTTTGGAATTCTATGTGCAATCTTATTCTTGTATTCAGCAATTGCTAAAATTGAAGTTTAATTTTGATTTGTAATGTGATTGTTGGAGGTTGTAATACTATCTTGGCTTTGGTTGGTATAAGGTGGTTGTTTAATGTGAGTGTTGATTGTGTATTGCATTATTTGGAGCGCGTTTGCCAGTGCAATTCCAGTCAATTAAGCAATTTGTCGCGACGATATGGAATCTCTTCATGTATGCTTTGGAGGGAAAGGGAGAATGAGGGCAATCGTTTTATTGTAAAAAGTAGAGAAATTGGATGTGTTTGCTCAAAGGGGTGCTGGATGCATAATGATGGATACATAGCCCTTTGTTTTGTTGGTCTATGAGTATCAATTTTGTACCAACTCGACGAGCTAGGACAGTAGCAATTAGTTAATGAGAGTGATAACGGGTTATTTTTTATAGAGGCACCTTGGATGGAATAATGCCGGTCATTTAGAGGAGTTTGAGGCCAAGGGATGGTTTCGATTTGAGTTTTTGTTGTAGAATGGATAGGGAAGATAATGAGTACAAGTGTACAACTGTCAAAGTAAGTGAAAAATTGGTCATCATTAAACCAAATCTTATAGCCTATTTTTGGTAGCGGTACTCACTCTAAAAGACAAAAAATATATTTTTCTCTTATAGCAGCCATGTTAGAACTCGTGGTAGATTTCAGTGGAACATTCTGAGTAGGACTTGTGGTAAGGTTGTTTGCATCTCTGCTCAATACGTCTGTTGTAGTTTCTAGTGACATTATCAATGCACAAGGCGCCAACAGTGGTCTGTATTTGTCCATAATCCCAACCATTGTCTGCTTGATTATATTCTTTCTACAGCACAGGACAAATTTAATCCTAAAACCATTTTTTATTTCTTTTATCTTTTTAAGGTAAGGAGAAAGACCCTCCTGAATTGGTTCCTCTCATAAGGCAATACTATCCAACTTTAAATATCTAATCATCTAATGCATGTGACGACTATTTTATGGATGGAAGAATTTAAGAAAGGGCCACCTATTTGCATCAATGGCAAAGTGGGGGGGGGGGGGAAGATAAGGGGATCCCCACCCCAAAGAGCCCTTAGGGGATTTGATTTGATCCTATGTTGTACAAGTCATGAGACCAAAAGTTAAATAGTTTATAATGTTGTTTCTAGAGGCATTATTTATCAATCAACTACCTTAGTCTTTCAAAATTGATTCTTGGTGTGCAAATCATGTCAGTGAACAAACCAAAAGAAGTCCTTAAGGTATCCTTAGTAAACAATCATAACAGATCATTTTATCTAAGGTAAATTGAATTTTAGGGTTCTTGTTTTTCTTTTCCAAATGATTTTTTGTGTATCGGACCTTTTTTTGTCCTTTTCTCGTACAATTCATTATGACGATTCATGTTAGCCGACCCTAAATCATCTTGGGACTAAGGCTTTGTTGTTGTTGGACCTTTTTTGGAAATTTGATGCTCCACCCATCATTAATTTGTATACACAAGCAATTGATACAATTCTAAGTTGAGAGGAAAAGTAGAGATAGAAAATGGGTGGTGGGTGGATAACTTTGTATGGACCCAATTCTAGGTGGTATGCTACTGTTGCGACCTAATATATCCGCTGTGATAAGCTCACATCCCATACAATGTGGTCGCAATAGGGTGAGGTGGCCAAGATATAACTTGGTATGGACCCAATTCTAGGTGGTATGCTACTGTTGCGACCTAATATATCTGCTGTGATAAGCTCAAATCCCATACAATGTGGTCGCGATATGGTGAGGTGGCCAAGATTTAATACCATGGGTGGGTGGAAGAAAAGATAAATAAAGTACTACTTTGTGAGTGATAAGGTGTAAATATTGTTAAGGGGTAAGATGGTAAAAATTGTTTGCCAAAAACATAGTGATAAGAACTTTTTGTAACGGATGAATACTGAAATTTTTAAATCATTAAGAAATGTAGGTAGTATATCATTTATATGGGGACACATGTTTGGTAGATTTACCTGTTAATATGGGCGGAGGAAGTAGAATTTCTAATCTAAGATTCATAAGACATCAGCTATTCTGACTAAAACTTATCGTGCTTTAGACAATGGTTGTCAAGGTATTCGTAATTTGTTTCAGGATGTTTAATAGGTGGCAATGTGTACAGATGCTATGAAAGTTTGTGTTAATTTAGCAAATTGCATAAAATACTTTTATTAAATTAATGGTAAAGATTTTTTTTTATTGTATGTAATAAAACAAGTGCATAATAGATATTAATGGTCAAAATTAATTGTAAAATGTAAATATCAATTGCAGTCCAGTAGCTTGTAATGAAGAGGGAATTATGGTATACAACATGACTATTCTGTTGATTTATATCCTCCAAACAGCAGAGCTACCTGGATTTTTATTGCACTTGTGTAATTTTCATGTTAGTTTCTGTGGCAAAATTAATATTATACTCACGACTTTTGTCTGCAAAGGGAGCCCTACACTGTGGTTCAGCATTGCTATGCCTTTCTTAGGCCAAAGAACTCCCCCCCCCCCCCCCAACACCCACCCACCCAAAATAAAAACCCCAATGATCCTCCCACAACCAGTTTTGGGTTTAACCTGGGGCCCAATTGATGTCCATCCTCTGTTCAGATTCTCTTTTGTGAGAATTACAGAGGGTGTACACTGTGGCTGACCCAGCGTTGTTCACGCTGGGTCATGTTTCCAGGAAATTGAAAAGGTTTAAACAAAAAAGAAAAGCAATATGTTCCATATACCTCTTTGTGGTTCAGTGGTCAAGTTGTTGAAGTGAAATACTTTCCTAATTGGCATGGGAATGCGGGGTCAAATCTCATACCAAACTTTTTATTTAGCCTTTTTACTAGTTGCCTTTTATTTATGTCTTTTATTTTACTGATATCATGTACTAGACTGGTAGGTTTTTTATTTTATTATTTTATTTTATTTTTATTTACTGATTTTATATGCTAGCCTAGTAGCCTTTCAGACATTACTAACTTACTATGTTTTGTTTTTCGTTTGTTCATTTGATTTGTATTATTGTTTGTAATTTAAATTATCGGAAAAAAGAGAACTCCAGGAGTCCGAACCCCTAAGCGAGAATTTCTGAATCTTCCATGGCCAATCCTAGCTATTTAGTCCATATTAGTAACCTATATTCATTATATGAGTACTCTCAGTTAATCTAATTGAAATTGTAACTGAATTTTTAGAATGAAAAGGAAAAAACATGTGATGTAACAAGTTTCTTTTATTCCAAAATTCATCTTTCTCCACAAAATCATCCTTCACAAAATCAACCTATTAGATCGATGGGTGACGGTGACCCAACACCCATAAAATCCTAGATCTGCCATTGGCTGAACATCAAATTTATGTTTGAACCTCAGACACAAAAATGGCTACAACCAATCCTGCACTCCTGCAGTAGTATAGGTTCTAGGCATAGTGGTACCTGATGATTAGGTCTTGCTAGTAATTGCTATCTCTTTCTCTGGTGCTATTTTGCAGCTGTCACTGTCAGCTTCAAGCTTACGGGATCGGGATGTGCTTTCAAAGGTTTGTATAATCTAAATCTTATGTGTTATGCTAATCCGCAATTGCTATAGTTTAGCCTGTTTAATTTTTGTTTAAATCTGACATTGTTAATTGCTAGTATTAAACCGTTCAAAATGATTGAAACTGTTTCCATTCAAAGTTGCAGACTTCTAATTTTTACCTCTTTACATTCCATAGAGTACACGTCTCATTGTTCTTCATGCTTTGCATTAGTATTTAAACTATAATTACTTTGTGAACATATAATTTCTCTATGTTTTTATGCCTCTTATGTTAAATCAGCAACATTGCAAAGATTATGCATAACTCAAGCATGAAACATTTGCTTTTTAAATCTGTTCTTGGTCTTTTATCAAGGTGTAATTCACAAGTATGCTCAGCAAGGAATTCAAGTTAGGAAGTAAAAGCACTTTGATTGGTAGAAAGACTGTCTGAGTTTTGGTTATGCTGCATCATTTAAGCATGAAGCATCTGTTTTTTAAATGTGCTGGTAGTATATTATGGGTGTAGAACATACAAAAATGTTCCTTACTCAAATCATCAGGTAAAACTTTTGAGATTGGTAGAAAGAGAGTGATTGTTCAAATATGGAATTCGCTAATCTAACTGCAAATCTTCTTACTATTTGCATTTCTTAGGGAATATTGCATATATGGCCATCTTGACTGGAGCTCGTTTGTTGCCCAAGCATTTGTTTATAGGTTTTTTCTTTCCTTATGTTTCATTTATGCTTGTAGAGTGATCCAATGGCAGTAATTTATATAAGAGGAAGAAATGGTAGACTTGAAGAACTTGGACGGACAGAAGTTGTATCAAATTCACTAGATCCTACATGGATTACAAAGGTCAATGTAACATATCATTTTGAAATTGTGCAGACACTAGTGTAAGCTCCCATGTTCTCTCCTGACCTTCTGGTGTATATATTAAAATTTTACTTGTTTTGCCTGATTATGATGCCTAAAATTTATGTTTGTAGGTTTCGTGTTTTTGATGTTGATACTCAATTCCACAACGTAGATGTACAGGTACATTCAAGGCTCCTAGTCTTCTCAGCAGTTATAAAATTTCAATGTATTTCTTTATTGTTTTTTATAATGATTGTTGTTATTGTGAAATTCTTGTTTACATTTAGGGACTTTTAATATGATTAAGGTTTGCATAGTCCTTGAAAAATGAGGATTTCAAGGCAAATTGCATACTATATGTATTTATTTACTTGAGAAAAAAAAGCTAAGATGTTGCCTTATACGAGTTGTGAATGTGGTTCTTACTTCATAAATCTTGCTATATGTGGGAATACATATTTGAGATTTAGAGCCTTTTGATTTTTTCGCATCAACATTTATGAAATGGATAATGCTCCATACTCAATTTTATATTGGTAGAATTGTTTGCTGGAAACTCTTTTTATTCATATTCGATCTTGTAAATTGATGAAATAATTTTCTTTCCAAAAGAAATATAATTAAAAAAAATGACGAAAATCAATGTTCAATTTGGCACTCCTTGTTTGTTTAGGCTTCTTAGAACACACGTGGAAAATTAATATTAGGACTTCTCATTGAATGAAAATATTTGTACTGTCATCTTGTTTCTTTCTTTTTTCCATTTTCCTATAATCTTGTTCAAAAACAATATGAGAACCCTTTAGGTGTCTTTGTTATATTCAGTTTAATATAGTCCTTTTTTTTTTAATTCTCATGAATACTAGAACAATTTCATTGTTGGGGCCTATATTTGTGGCCAAGTTTTCAGCAAAAAGTTTTGTATGGGGAGAGAGTATGACCTCTTTCCAAATTATTGGAACAAAAGACTACCATATTTGAGGACTGATGAGTGAGGAAAGACTGAGAAGTAGCTAAAAGCTTAATTTTATCTTGCGTTCTATTGCTACTGGGACTTACTCTGCTGTATGAATAAACACCTGATATCTAAGGATATACAAGGCAATAGGAAATTTCATGGCCTATTCTTGAAGTTGGGGATAGCATTTTCATGGCTAATTCTGAAACTCTTAATTTCTAGTGGAACTTTGATGCAAACTTGTTAACGCTTTGCAATTGTACTGATGGATATTGCATGAATAGTAAAAGTTACTTTCTCTGTTTTCCAACATGATCTCACATGACTACATTTTTTCTTAACTATAAATCAGCATAGCCAGTCAAAGTGAATAATATGAATAGTGTTCCAGTCAAAGTGTTGCGTGTAAAAAAAACGGAGGAAGTACGTTAGTACCCATACTAGTTTTTCTAAGGTTACTTTTGTAAACTCAAGCAGAAGACATCGTTTTACATGACAAGACCTTTTTGCTCCTGCAGATGCTTAAACTGGATGAGCAGCAATTTCTAGGCGAGGCTTCATGTGCGTTGTCTGAGGTATACCTATACCATTGACATGGATTCACATACAGAGTATTTTCTAATTTAAAATTTGGTGTCATATCTTATATTTCTGCTTTTGAAATCTAACCCTGCTTCTAAGAGATATTTATGTTTTTGTGGTTGAGGGGGTTTGCATGGTTGTAAATAATCTGTAACCCCCATGATAAGAAGTTTAAGTAGATCCTTAAATTCATCATCATCCAATTTAATTATGATATTGCTGAATAATGACTGATGTATTTTGTTACATACTGAATGATAGTTTTCATAATATCTATTTTATGTTATCTATCTTATATTATTTCCTGATTATTAATAAACTCCATGGTTTTTTTTTTTTTTTTTTTTTTTTTTTCCTAATGAGCTTTTTCTAAACAAAGTCAACAAACCATCAATTGCATGTGTACACTTGCTTGTCATATCTGATGCTAGAATTTTCTGTTACCATCCTTGTGATATGAGAATGCAGATAGTGACCAGATCAAATGGATTATTGACTTTAGACCTTGCGCATCGTGAAGAAAACTTGAAAGCAGCCCATTCAGGAAGCTATGGGAAGCTTACAGTTCATGCTGAAGAATCTATGAACTCTAAGATCACAACTGAAATGCTACTAAGGTGTTCAGATTTGGAAAATAAGGATCTCTTCTCTAAAAGTGTATGGGATTAGTTATTTACAAATTTTTACTGTCGATCCTGCGCTGTACAATATTCTTTTTAAGCATGCATTGTCCAAATTTATTTTGCAGGATCCCTTCTTAGTGATATCTAAAATTGCAGAGGGTGGTATACCTATTCCAATTTGCAAAACGGAAGTTGCCAAGGATAATTTGGATCCAGCTTGGAATCCTGTGTCCTTAAATATTCAGCAAGTTGGAAGTAAGGTATGAAGAACCTATTTGAATACTTGTTTGCATGAAAATATTGATCTCAGTCATTATTCTATTATTCTATTAATTTGTTAATTTTATTTTTCCCGAATCTGTGATGCTGCAAGCTTTATCAGAAACATGTCAATTTATTATTATACTGCAGATCAAGCTATAAATTCAAACAATTCTTGGCCTCTTTGAGTGATACTGCTCATCTTTTGTGATGCAGGACAGTCCTTTAACTATCGAGTGCTTTAACTTTAACAGCAATGGGAAGCATGATTTGATTGGGTAATGAGACATCATATCCTTTATAATCAGTCAATATGTTAAAGTTATTTTGCTGACTTTATCTCCATATATTATTCAGGAAAATTGATAAATCACTAGTTGATTTGGAAAAAATTCATATGAGTCAGAGTGGTGCAAATCTATATCTACCCGCTCCAACTGGACATGACTATAACAATAAGGTTTTAACATAATGACTTAATTGTAACTATAGGTTTACATTGGCAACCCTCTATTTTGTATGATGAGTTTGGCAGTGTTGGCCCAGGTCTTGAAAAGTCAACTCTTTGTGGACAAGTTCTCAGAGAGTGTCCAATACACTTTCCTTGATTACCTAGCTGGTGGATGTGAGTTGAATTTTATGTTGGCCATTGATTTTACAGGTGAGTTCTTACACACTCTAGGATATAGGCTTCTTTTTGAATTCTTATGGAGATTATACTTTATATTTTCTGACGAACTTTGGGACATGGTTTGTTTTCTCTAGTTCCCTTCAGAGATGATTTTATTGAAATATTCTTTCACTCCTTTTCATTTTATTGGTGTTTATCATGTATTGATGTGTGTGAAAAAGTCAGAAAGAGTTTTTGCAAATTGCAAGAAGAGAGGCAACAGAATATTGTAATGAACTGTCTTAAGGGAAGGGTATCACGGGTAGTTTAGTTTGTTAACAGTGATCAAATGTAGTACATAAGAAGGGTAAATAGGCAATGCACTAAGATTCCACCTGTGCACATGAGACAAAAGAAATCAGTCTAGAATCATCCTAGGGAGGGAGAATGTAAGTATAAAAAAGGGAAGAGAGAAATTGAGAAACTAGGCAGAACTTTGGTGAGAACCTTTTGGAGATTTAGGAAAATTTGTTCAAAAGGACCACTTAAGTGGTCTCTTTTATCCAGAAGGACTTATTAAGCAAAAAGTTGTTTAAAAGGACCACATAACACAGTTTGGGTTGGTGAGGGGGACCAAGGCTATTTTTCAGGCAAGTCAACACCGAAGTTCGGCGTTGACCGTCATGTGCCAAGCACGTGACTCTTTAAGTTGACCCAATTTTTTTTCTCTCTTTTTTTCCCCACGATTTCCCCATTACGAGTGGCATTAATTACCCCCAAATTTCCCCTTTCTTCTTCTTTCTCTCTCCTAAAATCACTGTTCATTCATGGCATTTAATGTGGTCTGCCATTGTTAGTGAGATACAGAGCAGCGATTTAATAGGGTATTAAAGGTAAAGTCTTTCTTTTGCTCTCTCTCTTATCATTTTCTTTACTTTATTTGGAGTGCTTCCTCACCATTTTTGTTTTTTTTTTTTTTTTTTTTTTTTGACCTTATCAATGGTGAAGGAAACTAAGGGAAAGCACAAGGCAAAGGCAAAAAAAAAGCGCACAATTTTCACAACTTCTAAATTGTCTTCCTTGGTTGTCATGGGTCTAAGATGTCCTTTGCACTAATGGAATCCCACAATTTCACTTAGTTCTCTTCATGACTGCTGGATTCATTTCGGTACAAATCCAGTTTTCACAAAATACAAAAATGAAGAATGTCAACCAAAATTCCCTAAATTCGACAAAATCAAAACAAATTCACAATGCTTACCTTGTGCGAAATGTCATCAATTGCACTATGGATGAATTTGTTAGGAGAAAAAGGGCGCAATTGGAGGTTGCATTCAATCTAGGTTTATGCTTCAAGGAGAGAGAAAGAAGAAGAAAGGGAGAAAAAATTTGGGAATAAAGGGGAAATTTGGGAGAATTCGTGGAAAGAAAGAAAAAAATGAATTTTTTTTTTACTCAACTTAATGAGTCACGTGCCTGGCACGTGACGGTCAACGCTAGAGTCCGGCGTTGACTTGCCAAAAATGGACTTTGGTCCCTCTCACTAACCCAAACCGACTTTTGTGGTCCTTTTAAACAACTTTTTGCTTAATAGGTCCTTCTGAACAAAAGTGACCACTTAACTACTTAAGTAGTCCTTTTGAACAAATTTTCCGGAGATTTATGGCCTAAAGCCATTTTGGAGTTGTGAGCTAAACTCACTTGGAGCTTGATAGGCTAAGCATAGCTCTTGTGTAATTTGTGTTCTGTTTATTAAAGTATCAATCTTTCCTCTCTATCTCATAGTTCTATGTTCTGTTAATTAAAGCCATTTTGGTGAGAACCTTTTGGAGTGTTATGGCCTAAAGCCATTTTTGAGTGTTGTGAGCTAAACTCACTTAGAGCTTGATAGGCTAAACCTATCTTTTGTGTAATTCGTGTTCTGTTAAGTAAAGTATCAATCTGCCTCAAAAAAAAAAAAAAAAAAAAAAAATGTAAAGTATCAATCTTTCTTCTCTATCTTATACTTCTATAGTGTCCCTCCATTGTCACTGTATAAATTCTTGGCAGTCATCAAAAGCTTTAACCTTTCTCTTTATTTGGTTCTGTTTTTTAGTCTTATTAGTCTGTTGTGGGTTGCTGCTAGCAGTCCATTACAAATATTAGATAAGTCTAGTGGGCTACTCTTATTGCAAACTGGTAATAAGATGGAAGCTCATTTGAACTTGTGTCCTATCAATCTACCACTCCTCCCTACATGCACATGTAGGCTTTTGTGGAAAGGCAGAGAGTTGAAAATTTACTAGTGATTTTTTATGAATGGAAAGCACATTGGTAAGTTCTGACTCAGGTATCTTTTTTATCAGCTTCAAATGGGAATCCACGTCTTCCTGATTCCCTACATTACATTGATCCATCAGGTCGCCCAAATGCTTACCAGAAAGTAAGAAAGTGATAATTTTTTTTAGATTAATTGGGATCTGAATACACTTAATGTAGATAACAGTGAGCTATTTTTTGTAGGCAATTTTGGAGATTGGGGGATTACTGCAATTTTATGATTCAGACAAGCGCTTTCCTGCCTGGGGATTTGGAGCACGTCCAATTGACGGGCCAGTCTCTCATTGCTTCAACTTAAATGGAAGCAAAAACTACTGTGAGGTGTGGTATTCAACAATACTTCTCATTCGGAGCTGATTCACTACCTTCCGTCAAAAAAAAAAAAAAAGCTGATTCACTACCTTCTTTGGTTGTTGAACCTCATGTGTTTTACTGTTTTCAGGTTGAAGGGATTCAAGGAATAATGACAGCATATACAAGTGCTCTATACAATGTTTCACTTGCGGGACCAACCCTTTTTGGCCGTGTTGTTACTGTTGCAGCTGATATTGCCAGTAAGGCTCTTGCAGAAGGACAACAAAAATATTATGTTTTGCTAATAATCACGGTAAGATATAATAAATGCAGAATGTATTTCTGTAAAGAATATTAGAATTCGTGCATTGTTGTAAGTCATGCGTTTTGATCTCCTTGACCAGTGATGCCTGAGTTCCATCAAGTCATTTTGTCAACTGAAACTCTGAATGTTTTTCCAAACCATTTGATGCTGTGACTGATATTTCCTTCAATAGTATGACTAGGTCCATATTTTTATGGTCCAATTCTGTCAGACATCCTTAAAGCCTTTTTAAACTAGGTGGCTGGAAATCGAGATTGACAGGGCCTTGTTGAGAAATACTCCCTCCGTCCCATAATATAGTTCTTGTTTGTGTTTTTTCATAGTATTTAAGAAATAGGAGGAAAAAATGGATAAAGTACATTAATAAAAGTGAAAAGTACAATCATAGACAAAAGTTTAAAAATACAAAGCATGTACAAAATTCAAGGGTAAATTAGGAAGTGCAATGAATAAAGCTAAAAAAGTAAGGGTATAATGGTCTTTATATACTATCCAAAAATAGAAATAGGAACAACATTTTGAAACTCCAAAATAGGAAAACAGGAACTATATTATGGGACGGAGGGAGTGTGAGAAATTTAGAAGGATGAGAGTTAGGAGAAGAGAGAACTCAGGAAGCACTAGTGAGATACTGAAAATTTATAGGAAATTCAAATGGTGGATTTCTGAGGGCTATCCTTCATGAAGTGTCAGTGGCTCTATTCTCTGGATAAATTCTGTTTACAATCCTAACAGCTCATGTGGTTGATGTGATATTGTGATTTTGTGATGTAATAATGTATGTTCATTTCCTGTTAATGAAATGTTATGTATGGACTTCCCTATAGCAAATGTTTTTTACCGTCATCTTTTTTGTTATCGCTCACAACTTCATCTGTAAATATAAATTTCACATGATTATGACACACTACTTTGTTGAAAGAAATCTCTCAATAATGCTTCTGATTTTTAGAATTTTATTAATCAGGCTGAAGGAAGTATAAGATAACTCTGAAAAATCAGACAAAAAGTATTGAATTTAAGTGCTTTATGATTGCAATTATGCAATTTGTTAACATTGGGCTTCCTTCTGTAGTTCTAACTTCTAGTGTTGGAATAGTTACTTATATTCTTGTAAGCTTCTCTGTGATCACTTTGTATTTCTCCTTTTCTGTTGCCTTGAAAGGTATTTCCCCCTTAGAAAACTGCTTTAAACTGGTTATTCTCTCTCATGCTCTTTTTTGGAGTGAAATTGTGCGTGATTGATATGCATTCTAGATCTGATTTGACTTGTTTTCAGGATGGAGTGATAACAGATCTTCAGGAGACAAAAGATGCTATTGTAAAGGCATCTGATCTTCCATTGTCAATACTCATTGTTGGAGTTGGAGGAGCCGACTTTAAAGAGATGGAGGTATGTATATGCTACAAAGGGCAATTCTTATGTAATACCATCCAACACAAATTTTACTGAGACATTATTTACGAACTTATTGCCAAATACACTTAATAAGCCACCCATATAATCAGAATAAATCACCCATCTATTATTGTGAAATTGTCTCATTCTTCTGTACAAGACTTTGCCTACTACATATCAGTACATATGCTCATTATATCCTGTCTCAGCAGTGTCAGCACTAAACCTTCAATATTCTTTATGCAGTTTTTAGATGGAGACAAAGGGGAGAGACTTGAGAGTACAACCGGGCGTGTCTCATCTCGTGATATAGTGCAATTTGTGCCATTCCGGGATATTCAGGGTCAGTGTATAATCTTCAAGCTTGCTAATAAGCATCTGGTGTAGGTTACTGAGTTCTGTTTCTTTTATTGCAGGTGAAGAAGTCTCTGTTGCTCAGACACTTTTAGCAGAATTACCCACACAATTTTTAACATACATGAGGACAAGAGACATTAAACCCAAAAGCATGATTTTGTGATAAATTGTACATATTTATTTTTATTTGGTTTTAATATTTGCTTTCGGTGGCTAATCGAGTCAAAATTATCAGCTCGGTGCCTAATTTTTCATTATTTTGTTTTTATAATGTTTCTTTTTTGTTTATTCCCCTTTTTTTTTATGTAATTTTTGTTGTCTCCTTTAAAAGGGAGCAGAAGAGAAAGGTGAACCCTTGTGTCTTAGGCAGAAACAATATTTCAATGTAATACAAAGCAATGTTTGTTCTTTACATTGCAAGGTGCAAATATTCTGTTTTTTTACCCCAAATTTGTTCTAGTGTTCGGGGGAATTAGGAGACACAATGGTCCATCTACGCACATATAAAAATGAACACATGTTTATTTTTGGATATTTTATTTAATACAAAGATGTGGTTATTATATTAAAGATGTCATTTGTAGACCATGTACATTGTTTGTATCAGTTAACAATTAAGGATGTTGATTATTGTATTATTATTCGTTTAGTAGGACTTAGGAGATCAATTCTTAATTGTAGGTAAGCACCATATTGCTTGCCTATACTTTGTTCTGCAAGAATGGCTTTCTCTAATAGCCCGGGGCGCAACTGCCTCATTACCCAGCAGCACCCGGGGTTGGGGTGTTCGTGCTATTGAACAACTTGAGTTAATCAAGGAATACATAGTACTTTGTATTACTAAGTAAGGTTTCACATATTTATACTTTTTTTCTCGAATATAAATCACAAAATATGCTTAAAATATAGTACTCATATGAATATTATAGAAGTTCAAATGGTCCAAGTAAAAAAAAAAAAAAACAAAGGAAGTATCACAGAAATGGATTGAACGTGGGCTAACTTATTACAAGTTCGCATCATAACTGAGGGGACGTTGGTTTTAGTCTTTGTTATCCCTTTAATTAGTTTGTTTTTCCATTAGTCAAACTGATCGGATTATAGTAATGTGTGTCTTGTTGACTTGTTGGTTAACACATGCTAACTGATGTTACTCACTAGTCACTAATTCACTATACACACTAACAACACCCACTTTGGTGTAATCATAAATATATTTTTTTTTATTGCTGTCTCTCGTTAAATATTAGTTGCAACTTTGAAATATTTTATATCTCATAAATAATACTCCAAATTTGCAACTAAAACTTAACAGAAGTAGTAGTTAAGCTTATATTTTTTGTTCGTTGCATAGCACCTTTTGGTTTTCAAAGTGAAGGAGGATTTACTTGTTACTTTGTTTTTACAAAAGCTTCAATGAACTGAAAATTAATACTAGTATGTATATTACGAGTTTTGTGAAAAAAAATCATCCGGATTTATGAATATGTATGTTATGTATGTCTTTGTCCGATTGTAGACAATATATATTATGCTATGCATTGTTGCTAACTTTATTGTTAATTAACTAGATCTTTTAGTATCACTTTTAACTCACGATTTTAATATTTAAAGTTATGATCTAGGTAAATACATGAAATGAGAACTCAATAGATATCAAAAGTCAATGATCATAAGTGAAGTTGATGAATAGTGTTAATAGTTAATGGAACAACTAATATGATATAGTTCAAGTCAATGATCATATGAATAGTGTTAAAAGTCAATGGAACAACTAATATGACAAAATTTAATGGAGAAAGTGTATTATTATTGTCGTAAAATAATGTACCAGTAGGAAATGTAATTTGAACTAACAATGTAACAACTCAAGTACACTACTTTATAAAAGCCTTTATAAAATACCTATTTGGTGCAACATGACTTAGCTAGGCATGGCACATTATGGGTCGTGCATCAATGCATGTGCCTGATTGCCTGAATTAAAACAATCTTGGTAAGGAAATACTTTTACTTAGCTCATTTCAAGCATGTCCTGCTAAAACACAATGCAACGTAGAATTTCACAATCTAACCCTTGTCTAACTTTACTAGTTTCGTTTCTCTCTCTTTTTCCCTCATTCCCTTTGTGTGGGATAATACCTGCACCAATATGGATCAGGTAACCAAGTCAGATTTTTGCATATGGATCATAACCAATACTGGCCCATTACTATATCAACGTATTTCACCATCTATGTGAAAACCTGCTTCCGGTCATGTGGACACCCAAAGCCTACTTAACAAGACACCCACGCGAACTGACACGTGGCACTTGCTTGGGGATTTCTATTAATACCCCAACATATCTTACTTTTAAACCAATTAGACGATTGTGCAGGAATCCAATTAGACGATAAACCATTATCAGACAGATGTAAGTTATATATCAGAGCTCACCAGGAATACCCTTTTCTCCTTAATTGGTATCCAAACATAGTGTTAACTGTTAAGCATTTAATTAGTACCGAAAAGTTAATTTGAAATTGAAAAAAAAAAGTGACGCGGTTTGGGAGACATGCAATTCATTAGCAAGCATGCTCACAAAGTAAGAAACAGTAGTAGTATGGTGTGGAGTACTCGTTAATAGAGTTAGTGGGTAAAGGTTACGTTGTGGATCATATCACAATTCACGAGATGGCGTAAAGAGTTGATGGTTCACACCATATTTCTTATTAAAAGTGTAGGCAACAAAATCAAGTAGTCGGTTATTTTTTCATACTAAGAGATCCTTATTAAATGATGGCTTCCAATGAAACTATATACAATTTTCTTGCTCTTAATCATCAACTTTTCTTAAGTGTTCATGCGGCGAACGTTCGATAAATTGAGATAGGGTCGGCCAACTAGCAGGAGGTAACTTCACTTTAATCATGATATTTTTAAATAAAGTAGTGTAAGATATGGAAATGAAATACTTCCTAAATAGATGTTCGTTTCATGCGTTCAAAATTAGTTGTCATATTATCACAACTTTTGTAACTAAACAATATAATGAAGTGATTTATGCATTTTGCTTAACTTGATCTCAAATTACTTGCTCATTTTTATTTTGGGATGTTTCATTTACATTATTGATTGATCTCATGCTGTTTACCATAAGACTATAAGAGTATTAGTTAGGTTCTGTTCTCATACGTTGAAATTCAGTTCAGTTCAGTTCAATTCAGCTCCTAATTTCCTTCTCTTATAAAATATTCAGTTCTTAGCTGAGTTCAGTCAATGAGAACAAGTCCTTAGTTAGTTAGTAGTTACTTCTTTGAACGTTAAACAAAGGATTGACATGGACCTGTTTTGACCTAACATCTGGGCCATTCAGGCTAATTAATAAGGGTTTGGTAAAGCTTCATTCTATCATCAATAACTGTATGTTCTCATTGACTGAACTCAGCTGAACTGAAGTGAACTGAAAATGAATATTTTATAAGAGAAGGAAATTAGGAGCTGAACTGAATTGTACTGAATTTCAAAGTATGAGAACAAACCAGTACTAAAAGGGAAATCGATCAATGATCACAGTTGTCATCTATTGGTTGAAAATTTTCCCTCTACCTTTCTTTTATTTTATTTTTGTCTATCCTTCATAAAAAGTATATATATTCATTTTCCACATTGACGAATATATTTTTTCTATACATGTTACATTTAGCACTTTTTTTTAATATATAAAAATGAGCATAAACAAATTGTATATTAGGATATAATTCGTTTTTTAGTATACAATTATTAAATTAAAATTATATTTCACTATATAATTACGTAAAATATGTGCAATGCATGGAACTTTATTACTTTAACTAGCAAATTCGAAGGCTGATTTTTTTTTTTTTTTTTTTTTTTTTTTTTTTTTTGCTCGGGCTTTTCGTGCCAAAATTGGGTAGCTCTAGCTCTACTCTAGCATCATCTTCTTATCAATCACTTATGTAATGACATTCTAGGAAAAAAATAAACATAAATGAATCATGTTGTGGGTAATTATTGAAAATTTTTTGAATTATATTCAATACCGTGTGTACATTACTTAAATTATGGGAAAAATTAGAAAATAACACCACAAAAAAGCCACGATTTTGATAATAACACCATATAAAAAAAAAAGTTTTGATTATAACACCTCCAAAAATCTCAAAAATTTGATTTCACCACCGCATAGAGATGCCGTCAAAAAAACCGTTTGTGGACCCCACTAAATACACGTGTCACTTATATATTGGTTAAAAATTTTTTTTTTAGAAAAAACCTAAACCCTTAGCCCAGCCACGAAGCTCACCACCGGCAGCCCTACATCCCACCACCGGCACTACCCCCACTGCCGCCAAGCCACACCAGTGTCCACCCCCACCCTCCTTAACCAACCCCGAAAATCCCTATACACCACCAGACGCAGCGATTGAGACCCTAGCTCGCAACTCCATAAACCCTAGCCACCACAAAAATGGCGACTAGTGGTTGAAATCGGCCAAGTTAGGGCCTGAGTGGTCAAATTCGACCCTAAATTGGCCGATCTCGACCACTAGTTGCTAATTTTGTTGTGAAATGGTGGTGGTGGTGGTGGTGGTGGTTGTCGGTTTTGAGTGGGAAAAGGAGGTGGTTGCGGGGGTTGTTCAGTGCGAATTTCGTGGTTTTCGGTTGCTGGAGGGGTGTCGGAAATGGTTCAAGGGGTGTCGCAGGGGGTTTTCGGTGGCTGGAGGGGTGTCGGAAGTGGTGTAAGGGATGGGAATTCGTTGTGTATGGTGGCGGAGGTGGTGGTTGCGAGGATTTTTCGATGCGAATAACGTGGTTGATGGTGGGGCAAGGCCGAGCTGGGGCAGGGGTGGTTTCGGGTTTTGGTGGGGCAGGGATACCGACGGCTTGGGTTAGCCTGTCGGTGGTGGTGGACAGGTGGTGCCAGTGGTGGGGTTGGGCTGGGTTTGGTTGTTGAGGGTTTTTTTTTTTTTTTATATATTAATTTTTTTAAACCAATAGGATAGTGACACGTGTCTGTTATGGGCCCACTAACGGATTCCATCCAAAAATCCGTTAAGTGGTGGTGAAATCAATTCTTTGGTTTTTTTTTTTTGGTGTTATGATTAAGGTTTTTTTTTTAGGTGTTATTATCAAAATTTGTGTTTTTTTGTGGTGTTATTTTCTAAAATTTCCTAAGTTATATTATTTGATTGTTTTTTTTTTTGACATGAATTAATAGTTTAATTTTTAAAATAAAATTGTTTTTTCATATATTTTTTTTGCAGTATCATTAGTAAAATATTAATCGGCAGAGCAAAACATTAGAGACCGTACAAAAATGGAAAAAAATATTATGAAACAAGGATTAACAGTTTTTTTTTTTTTTTTTTTTTTTTTTTTTTTTTTGAGGAAAAGGATACAAAAAAAAAAAAAATTAACTTTTGGTCATAACAGTTGTTATATACTTGTATGCATCAACTTGTTTTGTGTGTGGCTAACCACACCATGTGACCGCTTGTAAAAAGAACAAAAAATAACCCTTGTATTATTCATCAAGTAATCCTTGTAATATTCATCGAATAATCCTTTTAACACTAATCGGATAATCC